TAAACCCTTGCTCTAAAATGCATCAGAGACCAAAATTCTCAGTGTCCCCCCATGCATGCCATTACTGTGGCTTGATAGCATCTTGCTTTGACAGTAACAAAACCAGGCTTTTGGCGACAGAGGCTACTGAGGTTATAGACAAACACAGCGAGGGCTGTGGCTTTCAGCAGAGGGGCAAGACCTTCAGCCTCCCTCCGACAGGAGCACCCGTGTCTACCTCAGCACACGCAAACCCTTCTGCTTTGGCTTATGTACCACCAACCTCAGGCTCTCGTAAACGCTCGTCTGTCAGCGGCTCCTAAAGAGAGCAAGCAAAGCGGTAGCTTCAGCATCAGACACAGACAATGCTGGAGAGTATCTGAAATAAATACAGTGTTCAAAAGTTGAAGGTCGTTTTGTTGTCAGAAACCTTATGCTTCTTCAAATGAAGCATGCAGGAGGTGGCTGTGGCACAAAGCACAGTTAAGACACCTGCTTTCTGCAAAGCTATCTGAAAGATCTGCATTTTTGGTGCTGGAAGAAAAGGAAGGGGGAAGAGGAAGGAGGTGAGTACTGCCTTCAGCTCTCGGTGGAGTCCCCGCACCGAGGGCTTGCTGTATTAAACACTTGGCTGTTTTGCACCGATCTCGTTATCGGTTCTTGTTAAAATCTTTATTATTCATGGATGCAAAAATCCCATCATTAAAACATCATAAATATTCATACCGTGTGCATTTCGTTTAGCCACTTGGCAAAACTTCTCTGGAATACAAGAGTTTTAAGGAAAGCTGGCTAATGAGACCAGAGCACAGGAAGTGTGCAGATTTTTTTTTTTCTTTTTACCTGCAAATAAATGCAGAATAATTAATTAAATAAACAGCAACAAAAAGGGCACGTACTCACTAGCAAGGATGATATGCACACTCATTTTGGCTTCTGTGTCAAGGGGAACACAAAGCCTTTTGCAAGGCAAGTATGTTCCTGCGAGGAAGCAGGATGTTATAAAACTAATGTACAAAGCCTGATAGGCATCACTGCATGGGTTCATAGGGCTTTGCCTCACGTTTGATGTCTAACTATTAACACCATGCATGATTCAAGCTCTTTTCGTTCCTTTTTAAGGCAGAGCAGCCAGCCTCCTCTTTGCAGTGTTCCTAATGCAACTGCAGCTGTATCCTGCCTCCTAAAAGTCACTTTACCTGTGCTCTGCACCCCCACTTCAGCATTCAGATCTCCCTCATGGCAAGGATAAAACAAAAAAAAAAATCACTCCCCAAACCAAGCTTTAAAACCGCCATTAAAGTATTTGTTACACAGAAGGCACAGTAAGCAGAGGTGATCCCTCACAAGGGCTTGATCCTTCAAAAGCATGAGCAAAATCATGAGCTCCAGATGCTGCCTGGAGGAGCTTTGCAGAGTGCAAGCTTTGCAGTTTCTGCAGTTTTGGAATGGCCAGGTGATTCAATCATTTTTTTTCTCTTAAAAGGATGTATTCACAATCCACAGCTACAAAGCATCATTTTATGCTGTAGCTTCTTATATCATTAAGTCCTCCTGACAAAGCATTTCTTCAATCTCACTCCCAAGAAAAGAAAGCGATGGAACAGGTCAAATCTAGTAGCCAGAAGTAGCCCTTATTCTTCTGTACCTGTATGGAGAGGTTACAGCATTCACTCATTGAATGGCACCTGACATACAGCTGTTATCTCTGAGCTGTAGGTCATCTTTTTTTTTCAGCAGCTCACTAAAGCACCTAGCCATACATAATTAACTACAATGGTGAACTGTATGTTTTTAAATGCTGATGGGTTTTCAAAACTGATCAATGTCTTCCTAATTGAATGCTAAACCTCTCCCTGACTTCCATGAGAACAGTGCTTGGCCAGAGGAGTCCTTCTAGAAAGTGCCATCTGGTATGTTGCAGGCTTCTTATTTAATGTTCTTTTTATGTATTTCAACAAATAAGCAAGTCTTCTGCTCATGGGCAGCTTACCCCAACAGCAATTTCTTTTGCTCAGAGTCTGCGCTCTACCTTTTGCTGCTATTACGGAGATGTCTGGGACTGAACGAGCTCTGCCTTTCTGCCTCTCCCCTTCTCCATGCCCATTGCAGCAAGCAGAAGGGTTAGGATACATGCGGTGCTACGTGACGCACAACTAGTTTCCACTGAAGCATTCACACCAAGCCAAGACCCTGATTCCTCTGACCTTCCTCAGGTAAGGACTGTCCCCACAGCTAGCAGTGTGCAGCAGGTAGCACTCCATTTATTCCCAATACCTGACTACAAAAGAAAGAGCACTTCAGTGTCACCTCAGGGTTGCCATTTTAGAAAGAGCCTTGCTTTTGTTGCATTCAGTTTCTAGATTTTTTTTCTTGCTTTGTTTGGCTGTAGGTAAAGCAACAGTGAAGAGATGAAAACCAAAAAATTTCTCCTACCCTTCTACTTCTGACTAGGTGGCCAGTGATTAGTTGAACCATTAGTTAAGACACTTGAAGTTACAGTACCTGAGGACAAAAGGCACTATTGGCTCCCAGCAGTACACGTAACAGAGGGATGCTTATATCTACAGTATCCTATTGATTTACTTGACCTTTCCTTTTACAAATACCATCCAGACAAAAACTTCAGTTTTTCCAACAGCAGTTTTATCTGTGGATAACAAAGCATGTTTAAATGTTAACACGAGTACAGGAAAATATAAACTACTAAGTGGGAAAGTCTGTTCCAGAAAATCACACTTAGATAGCGCATGCTTTGAACATGATAACCGAAAGATAACTGTGCAAGCAGAATGCACTTAGGATTGTTGTATATACAGAAAGAAAAAGACGGTTTCCTTCCTTTACTTCAGAGCTAGGTGGTTAAGCGTACAGAAAGCTGTCTGGAAGCCGGATCTTGAACGCAATGTACATTTTCATGTAGTTCTAGACAAAATAGAAGATGCTTCCTCTTTTTGCCCGAGGTAGACACCTAGCTTGTCTTCTTCCAGTTTCTCGTATTTATACTCATCCTTGTGTAACCAAATAACATGAGCACTTGTCTTGAAGAATGATTACAGGAAAAATGAGTGCTTTGAGATGTGCTAATGACGGCTGCAGTTATCCTGTGTTCTGAATTCTTCTGAACTAAACATGATTGACAGTATCAGTGAGCTGGCAGTTTTATCAGGGAAGCAGAGAAGCAAAAATGCTCCTCAGAATTTTTACATTTCTGCAATATCACTTGTACTTTGATTTTTCTTTAAAGGACTGTTTAGCATCTAAGAAATACTTTGTTTTATAGGCTCCTAGCTGGTCTAGGAGAAAATTTTAACCACAAATTTAAATCGGTAGCATCCCAGCTTGCCTTCATTCATAGCAGTGAATCAAAAGGATCCTAAAAACACGCAGTCACAAATAGCTGCCTAATACAAAAGCAGCCTGTACTGCAGCTTTTAGAGTGAAGACTGAGTCTTGACCCGGGCTCTAAGGCACGCATCTATAATACTAAGTTAGAGATCATGTTTTAAACTAAACTTCCTAACAAGTGCAAATGCTCAGGAAAATAAGACTTACATGGAAGGTGGCACTTCTCAGTCCTTTGCCGTTAAAGCCTGTAAAAACTCCGACCATCCCAATTGGTTGCCACATCTCTAACCTATATGAATCAAAGTTTTGTTCTGCATTAATAAAAACATGTTGGCACATAACTGTATCCCAGTGGCATGATGCGTGCCTGGCCATTCCTAGGAATGCCCTCAGAGGTATTCTGCGAGCAGAGTTACTCTGCAGAAGGAAAGACGAGGGAACACAAAGGCCCATTGTGCACACTAATGCAGAAAAATGAAATCAAATACCATTCTCAGCAAAAGCAGAGTGTCTTCTGAGCAAAGGCTATTAAGTGTGTCAAACTGCAGGATATTTTCTGGACACGGCTATTATGTTAAGACATACTGAACATGTGTCACTTATAATCCTGCCCGGCTTCTAACATCACAGCTCCAGAGGAAAAAGTCCGGTGCATCAATTCTTTCTATCAAAGTACTCACATACAGTTCTCTTCTCACCAAGCTGTCACTCCTCATTTGTAAAGGAGGTTACAATAAGTTATAATTAGTACTTGCTGCCCTGTCAACTAATTAAATGTAATAAAAAGCTTTCAGTGAGTTTAATGCTAACATGGTGTAATTAAAGCTGCATTTTGAATACATGGTGCATGTATTATAGGTTTCAGTATGTGTCCCCCACCTCCTATGACCTAATTTCTCAGGTTAAACCACTGTACCTACCATATGATTAGTGAAAGGGCACTGTCAAAGACAGCCATTTCCGACCTAAACACAAGTCAAGGCCAATCCAGCCTTGTGCCTTTTAGAGGCACTACAGCAACTGCTGGGGGCAGGGGTGGAGGCAAAGAGGAAGAGAAATAGAGCACCAGTTAGTTGCTTCCATTCCTCATCTTCCCTTCAGGAGGTACCATTGCTCACATTCTCCTATCCATGAGGCTCCCACCGCTCTCGCCCCTTCTTTTCCTTTTCTTAAATAAAAACATGATTAAGATTTTTAAGCCACTCAGTCAGAGGGGCACCATGTGCAACTGCCCTGTTTGCATAGCTCGAGGACTGGTTCTGCTCCTCAAGAGCAAGAGTTAAACCATAAAAACTTTGGAGTAAGGAAGACTGCTCTGGCAGCCCAGAGCAGGGCAAAAGCAATGATGGAAAACATACAGCACTCTAGCACTTGGTTGACACTGTTCCTTAGTCGCCTAAGTACCTGGAAAGGCTATGAACACATTTTAAAAAAAAAAAAAAAAAAGTGAAGAAGCAGCCAGACTTTAGGAGATCAGCCAGGATGTCGGTAGTTACAGCCCTAGGTAGTCAGTCATTGTACCCAAATGCCTTCTTCACACTACATAATCTTTCCCATTCATAATCCTCATTGCTTTCCATTGCCCACAGATATGTAAGGTAGATACAAATAGACCCTAAAACAAAGGCATAATTCAGTGAACAAAAATGTAGCCTAAAAGAACCAATTAAAATGATGAAAATCTTTAATTTTATTTAAGTATTATTGTACGGACACGTGTATATACAAATACAGATCTTATGGGGCAGGGTTTTTTTTGTTTTTTTTTGTTTTTTTTACATTTTAAGTTCATATAATGTAAGCATTTCAAAAACAGCACTCAATGAATAAGTGCAAAGAAACTGCAAAGCAGGGCAGTACAAGCACAGGACCACACTGAGCTGGACTTTCATACCCAGATGCACACACAATGAGTGGCTTCAATGGGGTGTCAAGAGTAAGCATGGAAAGCGGATTTCGCAGACTCATGGGTAACCTCCAACATGCCAGCATCTATTAAACTGTACAGACAATGGCAGCAAGCCTATTGTAGGGAGATTTGTCTCACATCCGAGAAGCTCGGGGGCGAATGCATGGGAAAAACTCAGTGATGCCAGACCAGAAACAGATCTGCCCATTCACAGCTCCAAATTAAAATGGGGGGGGGGAGAGGAAGGAGGAGGAGGAAGGGCAGGAAGAGGGGAGAGAAGTGTGGAGGGTTGTATAGTAAAACTGGTGAGTACAAAATCCAAGTGTAATGAAAGGAGGGGAGGAGTTAACGCTCTTTCTAAGTCTCTGAAAGCGACTGAACCATTGCTCTCACAAGGCAACGGATAAAGTTCAGTTCTAAGGGCTAGGGGTGGTAATCAACAGGTATAAATACAACTTTTTTCTTTCCATAATTATACCGGAAAAGAAATAATCTACATTTGACCTCTCCCAAATTTGTCTCTAGTGGTTTTGGAATCAAGTACGTACACGTATCACACATGACACTGGCAAGATCCTTTCTGTAAAAACTATTCATGGAAACAAAACCAGAAAGAACACAGGGGAAAAAAAGATTTAAAAAGAAAAAAAGAGAGAAACAAAAGAATAGAAGAGTTGTTAGGTCCCCAAAGCCTTTTTTTTAGAAACAAACATGATTAAAAAAAAAAAAAGGAACAAAAAGCTAACACAGAAACCACAGGGCTCCAACATCAGACCTTTAAACACTAAGGACAAAACATTGATCATCAAAAGTCATGTTGTTCCAGGTCTTGACATTGTGAAGTCTTGCAATAGATGAACGAGTTTCACAGATGAGTCCTGTATGCTGCAGTGTCATGGCCACTTGTCACTCAGTTCCCAGCCATGACCACACTTGATGCTTCAAAGCTCTGTCTTGTAATCAATGCGTGATTTTAATGTCCTGAAAGTCTATTGTTCTCACTTACAAAAGACATAAGAATCAAATTAATACTTTATTATCAAACACTATATACAACAGAGGTTGCTAATAATACAGAATTTAAAGAACATAGCTTTAAGTTTTAATTGTCTTTCCTTCGCCATCCAAGAAAGTACAGTACAAAACAATATTCTAAACTAACACGAAATGTTACCTTGTCTATTAAAGGATACACAGTATCCACTAACTGACTGATCCATGTTTCCCTGCTTCACGTTGCAATGCCCTTGGCAACCAGGAGTGCAGGTCACAGGGGTGAACTACCTAGACTGAGAGAGAACGAGTCCCTCAGTCTTCACATGGGGTAGATAAAGGGGAGGGGAGCAGAAATCTGCTTACGGCTCGCACCAACATCCTTCAAAACATCCAGAAACTCGCAACTCAACACAAAACCCATCAACACTTACTTACTTGGTATGAGTGGGATTGCCTGATGCCATCAAGTATCAAACTGCTGTCTAGTAAGCTTCTCACTGCAAAACGCAGGGAATCTGCCTATTGGCTGCACCACTGTTGCTACTGCTCAACTAATTAGCACGGCTATATGATGAAGTGAAGGACTGAATTTCACCACGACTAACAATAGTGGAGAAGACTTGCTGCAGATAAACGTACATCTCAAAGTCCAACATCATTTAGACACAAAGGACTGAAAAAATAAAGTCACCATTTCTAAATGAAATTGGCTCTGTTAGTATGACTGTCTGCAATTCTTATGAATCATTTTAATATGCTTACCTATCATGCAGTATTATCTGTACTCTGCTTAATAATCCATTTGATAAGGTGCATTTTGATCCTCAAGCTCGCCTCTTCCAAAGCTCTCTTAATTCCTACCCGAAAGTAGCAGTAGTGCGTGCACCAAGCACATACACATTACTGAGAGAAGAGTAACAACTAGACTGTAACGAGACGACGACTTCCACCAGTGTTCAGATTGCCTCTCTTCGTTGCGTGTGCTTGATACTAGAGCGAATTTCCTGGATTCCTACTGTAAGTGCATGCCCTGCATTAATAAACATACTGCATGGTATCAGGCAAACCCAGATCTTAGTTTAACATGCACGCAACCTCCCTTTGCATCTTCACTTTATTTTCCCCCTTTCCTCCTTTCTTAATAATGGGCTGCTTACAACTTCAGGAAAGCTTTTCTTCATTGAAAAACAAAAAACGACAAAATGCTGTCCGTTAACGATATCACTCAATGTTGTTGTTTTTTCTTCAGAATCAATACAGAAAAACCTTGTTCTGTTTGAATGTGTTCTATATTTTTTTTTCACATTTAACGTAATCCTCACAGTTTTTGCTAGAAAAGCTTTGTTTCAGTGTTGGCCTGGTATTTCCATGACTTTGTTTTGCAGTTCAAATTTCGCAGCAGCCTCACCAAAAAAATACCCCAAGGCTTACATTTCCTGGCAAGTAACTTTTTCAAGTTCTACCTTAGCCAAGGTTCAGATTCCTTAAACAGGGTCACTCTCAATTCCATTGAACAAGACAGTCCCATATCCTAATTGCATCAAGGGTTACCACTTCTCTCACAAGTTTAAATAGGACAAGCATATATACTCACTCTCAGCATAAAGTATATCTAAATAATGTATTTTCTATTCTAGTGGATTTTTAAAAAAATATTTTGTTAAGTCTTTGGGAGCCCATCTAGTTTATCTCCTGCTGATAAACACGTTTCCTCTACTCTCCAAATTGTGCTGGAAGGGGAAAAAAGATATAAAATCAACACTTGAATTCATATTCCACACTTTTTTTTTTCTTTCCCCCATCAAACAATGCTACTAGACTGTCCTGGCTTCTTCTACTTGTGTTTTATTCCCATGACTGAGGAACTTGCAGGGGAGACAAATCAAGAGCCCACTGAAGATCCTGTGTCCCAAACAGGTTTCCTCTGGCCACTGGTGTCCTCTCTTAGCATGCATTAAAACCCAGAGCAGCATCCAAGGCTATCAGCTACTAAGTCAGCGCTGGGGAAGGTCACTTTATTCTCAAAAACGCCTCTTTGCATTTCAAGAAAAAAAAAAATTGTAGCACCATGGTGATCTGTTTTGAAATAAAATAATCTGGTGTGCACTACCCACTTAAACAGAAATAACAGAGGCACTCATACCCCCAGTGAAGTTTTCTAAATCTGACCTTGCCTGCTGTGTGCTAACATTCCTCAAAATTAACTTACTCCTCTCACCAAAGACAGCATTTCTACTGCTAAGCACAAACTTTGCTGTCAAAAATGTTTCAGGACAGTCCTGTAAGAAACATTGTCTTTTCCTTTTAGAAGCCCGTTCGTTTAGAAACTCCTAGAGGAAATGGTGTTATATTATATCTATTCTTAATATCTCCCCTCCAGTCCTGACATGGTGACACGATGCCTTGCATGATCATCTTACAGTGCTGAATGAGAAGGCATAAATATTGTATTGGAGAGTAAATCTCTCCCAGGCTTTCATCGAATTTCCTTATCCTTCACTGACTGCATCTGCCACTATTCTTCCTTGTCCACATACAGATGACACAGTGAGCTAACAGAGGTGACTTCTTAAAGGAGAATGCAGAGGAAAATAAGAATCACTAGTGTCACTATTGTAATTTGGCATTTTCATTTGGAGTCCTTTTATTTGTTTGGAGGGGTTAAGAAAGTCACAGGGTAGGGACGGGTGCTGAAACTAGTTATTCCCCTCAAATTCTTGCTCAGAGTTCAGGCTGAAAGGGGAAAAAAGGGAAAAGAAAAAATAACAACTTGACATCTGCAAAACCAATATAAAGTCCCTTTCTTGGGATGAGCAGTTAGGTGGGTCTTTGATGTTCCAAGACCCTGATATTTTCTGCGACAGGTTGCTGGAGCATACTGTGCTATAATATCAAAAGCATTGCCAGGAGGAACAATAGAGTTGCCAAAAGCCGACTGGGTATCCTCGGTGTCTGTGCCGCGTTCTCACCACGGGATGGCTCGGCTGACTCATGTACGGTATCATCTGTTCAAACAGAAAGCATACATTCCAATGAGATTTTGCATCCTTAATAAACTCTCACTGAGCCGACAACTGTAAGTAGATTTCAGTGCCTTTATGAAATAGGGCAATGAACCTTGTGCTGTCATTGACTTTCACAACCGTGTAATATCTCATTATGTAACCAACTCGGGGCCAAGTCCTGCACTTCTTACTGGCAAAGCTCCCACTGAAGACCAGAGGAGCAGAAAGTAAGTTCGATTTCGACAGACTGAGGAATGAAAGATTCCTCCTCTTGTAAAATACTGTAGCTCTAGCTTTGGATGGCTCATTAGATAGCAAAGTCAATAGCTAGAAAGCTAAATAAAAATACCTGATTTTCAAAAGGAGAAGCTGTATGTGCTCAGAATTAATTTCAAACTTAATCCCCTCACTGAGTTACAGATTTTGCCTCCTAAATTCGAAATGACAGTCCGTAAGCCTAAGCACACAGTCCACTTCCACACATACAATTTCCACTGAAGTATACTGCATTTTGGGATACCCCGGGGATATGACACTAGTCTCTCCTTCTTGAAACGCAATTTTAAAGGCTAGCCCATGACAACCTCTGATTTTATAGAATATATACACCCTCATAGGTAACAGCTTACTTTTTAGGTTCCACAAAAACAAATTTACATATGTGCTGCTAAAACTAATGAAAAAAGAACCAGCTCTGTTGGAAAAACATGCTTACATGTTAGTGGCAGAAGCGAATACAGTAGAAAATATTCCACTAAATTTCTGATACTGAATAAAGCTCTGTTCAGTTTTCTAAATTAAAAAAAAAAGCTACGGCTCCAGTGCTGTTTCATTTCATAAAAAAATATAGGTAAGTCAAACGCAACACCAGTGTTGTTAAAGATATAGTATTTTTCTTTACAAAATCCTCCATATCTGCAGTTATCCAATTCGGCTATTTGAACTGTTATCTGTCTGAAGCCTGCCATAAGAAGTCAGCTCGGGGTTTGAATTTTCTTCATACTAAACGAATGAAATCAGCTACACCTTTTTAGGGAGCGTGAAGTGGCCTCAAAACGTACTCCTAAGTCACTTTAGAGTGCCTAAATTTTCAGGAAAATTAACATAATCTCACTACTTAGTATAATAAGCTTCTCCATTTTATGAGAGGGGTCTGCATACCTACGATACATCTGCCTCGTAGTTCCCATCTTAACAAAATTACGTTACCAGGATTACACCGGGTGAGAGCTGTGCAACTGCAATTAAAGGCACTAAGAGAAGCAGGAGTCACAGGACGAAGGACGCCACACAGCTTGTAACGCAATCTTTTAAGTTACTTAGCTCTGCTTCGAAACAAGCCCCCC